GTTCGTTTTGTTTACCTAAATTATATCGTTTTTTCACTTTTATAAATATATTCCTAAAGTAAGTAGATAGCATGTATCATATATACAATCGTTTAGTTACCAATTACATACCTTTAAACTATTTTTTATGACCTGTAAACAATATTTAAAAAATAAAATAAAAACAGTAAAAACGTATATGTCACATTTATTAATGTTTTTGTTAAAAGTTTGGTTAGAATTAAATGTCAGTAGAACCACTGAACTAGCGCATTTACATATGTTTGTTTTGGGCGGAATTTTGTATTTGTGATTTTTTAACTGTTTTTAGATAATATTCTCATTATAATATTGGTTTTGAGTTTCATTTAGTGTTAATTTAAGTTTAGTTTTCGTACTTTCGCCATAAATATAATATTTATTACGTGCATGACTTAATTTGTTGGAAATATTCACCTATTGGTGGCTACAAGAACATCTAGAAATATGTATTTACTAAACCCAGGACATGTTTTATCATGTGGTTTAAAGGACATTTCAGGTACCAAATATTTATTATTATATAATAATAATAATAATAAATCGTCTTTATTCACCATAACAAAAAACAAAGAAAGAATAATTTTTTTTTCTACCTAAATATAAAAATAACAAAGGTGAATAGGCGGAGTGTCAGCATAGGCTGTTTTTCAACTCAACCTCAGTAAAGATCCAAGAAAATATCAAGAACCAAAGAGCAGATCCGAGATGAACAGAGATTATTGTTTTTATTAGAACCGTCCTAAACCGACAAACAAGCCTTTTAACCTTTTTTTAAAATTAATTAGAGTGTACGATCCAAATTCTTTAGGCAGTGTATTGTATAATTTAGCTGCGGTGTAAGAGAAACTTCGCTGTCCAATGGATGAACTAAATTTGGGAATTACTAACGTACTCTTATTCCGAGTTCCGTAATTATTACTGAAATGTGTGAATTTATTAAATAGATATTTCGGTTTTTGATATTTAAGAATTTTGTGAGTTATATTCAGAATATGCAAAGAATGTAATTTTTTGATATGCAGCCATTTTGATTCTTTGAATTTCTGTGAAATATGGTCAAATTTGCGTATACCGTAAGCGAACCTAATACACGAATTTTAAATTTTTTGAAGACGATTTAAATCCCTTTGAAGAAGAGCTGGTCCAAATACCGTATCGCAATATGATAACTTTGACATAATGAGTGATTCACACATTTTTAATTTAAGTTTAGGTGAAAGTATATCCCTATTAGGATACAGTTGTCTTAACACGTTGTATGAGCTTTGACACAGTTGAGAAATATGTTTTGTGAACCTAAGTTCAGAATCAATCCACAGCCCCAAGTTTTTATGATCATAAACAAGTGGAATGGGGTCATGACCTATGCTAAGTTTAAAATTATTAGTTAGAAGATTTCTAGCTTTATTGGGCCCAAATAGCATAAAGACAGATTTTTTTGAGTTTAATTTGAGATTATGTGCTGACGATATATCATATAATTTTTTTAAATTTAGATTTATGATGTATTGAGCTTGTAAAGAATTTCCTTGGTTAAAAGACAAGTAGAGTTGCGAATTATCGGCGTAATGATGAATATGACAATTTTCTACAAATTGATGAAAATCTGAAATGTAAAGTGAGAAAAGTAGTGGTCCTAAAATGGAACCTTGTGGAACACCATACTTAACCGGAAGGGATCTCGACACAGCTTCGTCCAGGACAATTTTCTGGGTGCGATTTTCAAGATAACTTTTTAAAAGTTTAACGGCCCGTGCAGAAAATCCAAAATAGGAAAGTTTTTTTATTAGAAGTTGATGATCAAGTGTGTCAAAGGCCTTGCTGTAGTCAAGCAGCACTAGGCAAGTAACATTTCCTTTATCAATTGAATTATATATATACTCAGTTACGTCTAGAAGCGCAGTAGTAGTGCTGTGACTAGAACGAAAACCCGATTGCGTAGCCGGTAAGATGTATTCTTCCATAAACTTGTTCATTTGTTCTTTTAAGATCATCTCTAATACTTTTGATAGAGTAGGCAGTATGCTAATTGGCCTAAGATCTGAGTGGGTAGTGGGATTGTTACATTTTGGTAATGGAATAACAGAGGCTCTCTTCCATTGCTCCGGGAACTGACTACTGGAGATACATGTGTTAAATATGAACGTTAAATGTTCTAATAAGAATTCGTCTACCAGGTGAATTAGTCTCAATGAAATATTATCTGAACCTACAGCGTTGCTTTTAATTTTGTAAAGATGTTTTCTCACTTGAGATGATGTAACGGGGAAAAATTGAAAAGTATTATCACTAGACTGGTTCTGATATCGATCAAGAAGATAAAGTTGGGGGTGAGTTTTTTGTGTGTGAGTAATGTTGGTGAAGTGAGAATTTATACTATCTGTATCCTTTAAATTATCAGGAAAAGAGGCAGTTGGTTTTCTCAAGATATCAAGAGATCTAAGAGCATTCCAAGTAGATTTAGAATTTTTTTGCAGAAGTACAAAGTCTAAGTATGCTCTCATTTCATGACGAATTGCAGATGTGGTGTAATTTCTGAGTTCTTTGTAGTAATTCCAGTGCACAATGGATTGAGTAGATTTAAATTTTTTGTAAGCTTTATCTCTAAGCTTCATGATTTCTTTGATGTTGTATGTTAGCCAGGGCGAAGGAGATTTGCTTACTCTTTTGGTTACAATTGGAGCATGATAATCAAACAATTTAATTATGGTCATATTTAAAAAGTTTACCATTTCTTCAACATTTTCCATGGCATATATGTTGTCCAGGGTCAAAAGATGTAGATCGTGATTAAAAGCATTTAAATCGAAGTTAGAAAAATTTCTATATGTCACATATTTTGGCCTGCAGTCTTTTTTTAAAGAATCGATACTACATGAAATTGAGAAGTGATCTGAAATGCCGTGAATATCATAGACATGAATGTTAGAAATAAGATGTGGTTCACTTACAATTAAAAGATCAAGAAGAGTAGAGCATGTTCTGGAGATACAAGTAGGCTTATCAATAAGTTGCTTTAAATTAAACAACTCAAGAAATTCATTAAGTAGTGTAAAAGGTCTATTTACGCACAAACAGTCAATATTAAGATCACCAGCTAGTATAAACAAATCACTAGTAGGAAGAAGATTTGATACGGAATCTTCTAGTTCTTGTAGACACTGTAAGATACTAGCTTTTGGTGAACTTATTTAAAAATCTTACTATCCTTATTCTTATATTATGAAGTGAATTGTGTAATACTTTGTATACATGTAAATGGTAATAAAAACGTCAAAAATCAGATTACAGTTTGATTCTAAACAAAGTTTTGCAAAATTTCAATTATTATCGTAAGGAACAAAATTTTACGACTGACGCTTGGAAAATAATGAATACTTCAGTTTTGATTTTGACATTAACACCATATAGATTGCAATTTGCTGGGGACTTTTTCGCAGATTTCTTTTTTAATATAAACACTATCACTTACTAAGGAAAATAAACAAATTTAAAGCTCAAAAGTAAGAAAAAAACTCGAATTGTAATTGATACAAATTAAAAGATAAACAATGAACACGAACGCCAATGTTGTCAAATGATGAACTAATTTTAAAACAAAATTAATAAAGGGACTGAAATTTAAAAAAAATCAATATAATAAATCGGTTTTAAAAAAAATCCATAAATAAATATAGAGTGTGATAACATATTACTAGACACAAATTTTGATTCTTAAATAAAAAGTCTTATACACTTCTTCAAGGGCTAAAATCCAACGTCGTAGCGAAATTTCGCTACTTCTGGCAACACTGAACGATATCCTACTTATAGGACCTTCTACAAATTTCCTCCAGGGGGCGTACCACTTAGTTTGGTGTGGTCCACTGCTTGCAGACACCTGCATTTATCCTGTGGTTATGTAAATTATTGATGTATTTCCTTAGTTTTCGTTCAGCTCTTAAGAAAATTTGTTCTGTTATCAGTGAAAATTTCTACCGATTGTCTCCGCTGAATTATAATTCTTCGTATTGCCAAGATAGTTGAATTTGTATCCAATGATACGTCTTTATCGTTAAGCAGATAAAAACCTTTTTGTTTCTTTCGCCTACTGCTATGATAATGAGGCCAAAGAAGTCTCTTCCAATATGTAAATGGTTCTAGTCTTTCGGATATTATAAGTTCCACTTCTGGAGCAATAGGTTTTGCTTTTCGCATTTGAAACCCCCATTTTTTTTAAGAGGCCAGTTAGTGGGTTCAACCACTCTAATAGAGCTAAACTGATGAGCCTGGCAAGTATATGGTATTTACTAGTTTATTATTATACTTATTTTAATGTGCATTATTAAGTAAATTATTAGGATAATTGTACTGTTATCCTCCACTTCATTTCTATGCCGAATGTACTTAATTTAAATAAATAAGGACGCGATAAAAAGCCATATGCTCGTCTTCGAGGGAATAATACAGCAACATTGTTACGTGGGGATATTAAAATTCTATTCCTTCTAGAAGGATGTAGATGCGCGCCTCGGGTAACGGACTTTAAGTTTTAAAGACTGAAAAACAAAGACAAACCAGTGGGCCGGAGGTTGAATTGGTAGGTTATAAATCTGAATTTTATTTTATAATCATGCCCTTTTTTGTAGGTGCATTCAAATGTTTTTACTCGGCGGTTTTTGATATATGGGTCGTTACTGTTTGTGTACAGTGTAATCAGAGACAGTTTTTTTCTTTTGTTCGGGTTCTTACGTTTTTCGATTGTATTTGTATTTATTGTTTTGTTCGGTAGGTAACACTAGTTAGTCGTCTATACAGATTATATCATTGTTTCTAACAGATTGTAAGCAGACAGTTATAATAAATTGTAATGATTTAAATTATTTACAATGTAATCTTTGATTAATATAATCGATAATCATAGATTATCTACTTCCTCTACTTTTATAAAGTGTTAATGCATGGTTGTGATATAATTGATTTTTTTAACCTCTTCATAGGACTGAAGAAGCTTTGGAAGCTACTCAAAAAAATATAAGAAAAATTCGATTATTTCACACTCGAAAAGCAAATAGGATACATACGAATCTAGACCTTATCAAATCCTTATTACTTAATTCCGATCAGTCAGTTTCAAAGCATCGTAAAACTGCTTTTAAACAATTTCATGCTAATTTGACTGATATTAAAGAATTTCTGGCAGATGATGCAGCTCCATCTTCTACACAATCTGACCTTAATATTTTTTTGGAAGATTTGGAATTGAGTAGTAGTAACGATTCAGATGCCAGTGAGTAACTTTTTAAATTAAAATGTTTTTAATTTTGCAACATATTTGCATTTATCCCAAAAAAATAATAATAAAAATCGATATTAATATGAGAAATAAAATGTATTTCATTTCTGTTTTTGTTTTTTCACTCTTATCGCGTTAAATAAATATTTTTGTACTACAGTAAAATAGCAGCCAACGTATTTTTCCGATCTTTAAGGAAAACCAACATCAAGGTCGAAGCACTATGTATATTTCGATTTTTGTCCAAAAAAGTAACATTTTTCCGCACTGTGCGGTTGTAGGAATTTTTATTTAATTAAAAAAAAATTAAATAATAATTCTAAAGCATATGTAGGACTCCCCACTCGACCAATCACTGTTGGGTTCTAATTAACAGTGTAGTTCCCAAAGTGCCGCTGGAAAACAGTAACAAAGTCTACACAGAACACGCATGAATAAGAATTCAAACAAACTGAGATTGGCATAGTAAATACATACACCAAGGCCATAAATCGAAAAAAAAAAAAGAAAAACCCCGTATTAGTGGTAAAGTTAAAGAAATAAGTGTCGTATGGGTACTACAGGTAGCCCAGTGACTTTTTTATAATCTCCGGTATATTTCTCGGCAAGAATTTTAATGATGTTACGGCGCATCTTAAGAAAATGCAATTTGCACGGATATAAAATATAATAAATTCCGAAGCACAATATCTACCCAAAGATTCATGGCCAAATTGCACTGGAGACGCCAGATACTATCTCTATATTTATTTCTGCGTTGATCTATGACTAAGATTGCAGACAAGGTTGAATTAAGAGCATTGTATATCATTAGAAGAGAATCGCATAATTCCAAATGATTTAAGAATAATATAAATGAGTCAATTATTTCGCAAACATCACAGAAGTCATTATAATAAACATTAAAAAATCCAAAACCGGACCCTTGCATTACTTTCCCGAATGACCATCGGGGTCACTAGATCTAAATCTTGTGAAGTAATATGAAAAATTTAGTTTACAAGAATCCTGCTACAAAGAAAATTAAAAGGTTCATACATCAAAATCCCCCAATTAGATGTGTATACAGAACCTATGCACGTAACAACTCTTTTATACAATAATCAGAAAATACCATTACATAAATAATAAAATTCTAATTATCTCTCTTTTAGTTATCTTCTAATATTATATACAAACGCAGATACTTTCACGTTTTTTGTACATTTTGTGAGATTTTTAAATTCCCAGACCATATTTTTAAAGTTTTTATAGTTTCTAGAATGTTTTTTTGTTGTTGTTGTTGTTGTTGTTGTTGTTGTTGTTGTTGTTGTGTGTTTACCCTAAAACATACATTTGGAGAAGATTCACGTCGTTTTAAAGGTAAGTAAATAAAAAACATGGCTGGTACACGTATATTGTAAAATATTATTAGTAAATTGGATTTTTTTTATTGTTGAGTTTTAGAAATATTATTTTCTGCTGATTTTAAAATAAGTACATAAAATAATTAAAACGCACCTGTAAAGGCGCTTGGTGTGCAATCTCACCAGTATTCCTGTGACGTAATACGCGAACTCATGTTGGCGTACTTTTGTCAATAGGGATATCGTTTCATTTTAAATATACAGTTTACTGGTATCTACCTATACACAATATAAACAGTGTAATCATTTAAAACCTTTGGTTTCTTATGAAAAAACTACTTGATACGCCCATGGAGATCACAACTGTCAAAAGTTCGTAGATATTGGCTTCAAACAAAGGCTGTTCTACCGCTTTCCGTTCGGTTGAAGTTGAGAGTTACCTCATCCATTTTATAGAGGGTAAATTCGGTTTGGAACTCGACGGATCGGACAGAGCGCGCACGGAGTGCGTGACGTCATCGACAGAGTTCGCTCTTTTTACAATCTCAAGACGAACACAACGGAAATGAAAAATGACACTAGTGATAGTTTGCACTTGAATACACTTTTGTGTGTGTGAATGGACTGTAAAAAATGAATTTTAGTCAAATAGGAAATAGTTATAACAAAAACAAGCAAGAAATAATACGTGTATACTGATACCTTTTAAAAGGAGATAGAAAACTCCGCCATTTTGAACCCTTATTACGTGTTGCCTACATCTTGGCGCAATATTTTTAGTAGGTGCGTTTTAATCATCCGCTTCTGCTTCGGAATTGGCGGTTTTCTTGTTTTAATCTGACAGGTTAAAACGACTAAACCGACAATTCTGGAAGCAGAAGCGGATGATTAAAACGCACCTGATATTTTGCTTGCTGCTGTCAGTGTCAGTCACATAAATCAAAGTATGTGGTGTCAGTGAATATTATTTTTGAAGTCACAGTTTATTGCTAAAGAATCAGTTAGTTCACTCGGACCAGTTGAAAGTGCCAAAATAACATCCACTCCAGGGATACAAATTCAGGATACGCAGAAGACTGCTGTTTTATTATAGGCGGTTGTCATATATTGTATTATCCGAGTTGCACAGTGTATAAACTGAAACATTGAGATCCAAAGTGCCGACGCAGAGTGAGCGATCTGATTCTTTAGCTGTAAACTGTGTCACAGGGTTCAAAATGGCCGCGCCCTATGTTGAGCGTGTCGGACCTCTCTCTTGCATCGTATAGTAATCAAAGTATGTGAATGCACCTATTAAAAATATTGCGCCAAGATGTAGGCAACACGTAATAAGGGATCAAAATGACGGAGTTTTCTATCTCCTTTTAAAAGGCACTCAAAAAGCTGCGTAGTGCGACCATAGAAAAAGAAAATCAAAGTATGTGAATGGGATGCCTATCTTTCTAGGTATGCATCTCCACCTGAAACGTGGGCTGGCTAAATTGTATGTGTTGATAGTAATTTCTTTGCAGAAAATATTTTTATTTATTACTTCGACGACAGATTCGAAAGTTTTCTTTCTTAATCTAGTGGAATTATTTTTTAAATAAATGATTAACTACATTTAAATTGATTTTATTTATATTCTAAGGTGAAATAGTATTTGGCCATCTGTATTGGGTAGATATTAATTTTTTTCTTAAGTTCCCATTTCTAGTGTCAATTTGGAACAAGAATATGGACATTTATTTTCGATTATTTCATTATTATTAATAATATCATTTGAACTTGCTCCCAAGTATGGATGTTTTTCATAAATAAATAAATAATTCATATTCATGTACCGCTTTTCCATATTTATTTTTAAATTCTTCTATTGCAATATATTCATGATCTTGTCCCCATTTTGTAGCGACTGATCCGTAAAAAGATGTAAATAATATGTTATTAACAATCTTTTTTGGATCTGTTGTTTTGCGTAATTTGCAAACGGTTCCAGAATTTGAAGCCGTGAGCATATTACTACGATTTTCTTTCCAGAGATCATTAATGGCCTGACCTCTAATAGATACTTCAATTTTACAAATATCATCTATTGATTTTGGTAAACTATCCAAAAATTGCAGTTTTTTTTTTGTTCCAAAACATCGTCACCATCATCGCATTAAAGTCCGTAGTCCCTATATTTAGGTGCGCCACTTTTGCGGTTTTTGATTGAGGGCCCTGGCTTTTTTACTACGTCTACGTTTGCTCATTTGAGTAACCAATCTTTGTGTGTGAATCCCAGGAACACTTTTTGACAGCTTTTTATAAAGAGTGGGACTAAAGTTCTCTTTTTTATTAAAAGAAATGGCTGCAGCTGTACACCGAACATTATATCCTCCTTTTACTGCAAAATTAATTGTTTTTCCTCCAAAAAATTTGGCTACGATTGAATTATATGTCTCTACAGTATTATTAGTCATGTTTAATAATAAACTGTGGCTGTTTTGAACTAACCTATTACCAGCAGATACAAAAATATTGTACACATTTTGAATGATTTCCAAATGTATGGTAAGGAGAGTTTTGAATGTCACTGGTATTATTTCTGGGGTATTTTACATTCTATTTAATTCCTACTCGTAACTTCAAAATCAAAAGTTAGTAACGGTATTGTTTCACGATATCCGATAATATGAATTGTCAAATTGAAGCTTATAGTTTATTCATCAAAGATTATAGCGTTTTTCTGTTAGTAGAATGCACTATTGTGAAACACAATTAATATTTAGTTACGATCAATGGAAAAAATCTTCTTTTGCAGTATCCCATCGAGAAGGTACTAAATCCCGAACAAAAGAGAAATCGGAAACGAACATCGCAACTGATTGATACACAATCAATAGCATTGAAGTTCGTGAGGACAGATAAATCCGTCACAAAAAAAACAACTCTTTGCTCTGGCAATCGAAAGAATAATGTTCTGCAGTATCGATATTGACTGGCGGGAATTCGCATTTACACTCGCGACTAGTTTTTTGCACGAGTTTGAGTGACAACTCAATAATCCGCCAATTGGAAATGGGAAAAACGAGCCTGTCTCCGTATGTCGAATTAAAAAGTTCATGCGAGTCGACATCTTGTGTGTTCGCATCGGCAGCGTGAGGCGGGGGAAAAATGTCGGCGGCGGTCGTTTGTCTTAACGGGATGGTAATTGTTTAACAATTTAATGGCGTACAACTTCGGCTGTACAAACTATACCGGTGTATACAGGATGTGACTACCTTTTTTTTTTGGTAAATAAAATGATTAATAAAAGTGTATCATCAACGCCTACAGGTAAATAAACAACGACTACAAATATATATACGGGTTCGGAAATTTAAACGCGGACAAATCTATTAAAGACCAGCGAAAGTGGGAGTGTGATAGGAGCCATACGTGCCGTGCGCCAGGGCGGCTATCCTCGACAATCGCTAAAAAAACGAACCGTTTTCGAAAGTGAGTGGTTGAAAAGCGAGTAGTTTTCGAAATCTATATTCTTGACTGGCGTTCGATAAGCATTCGTTTTTTAAAACGTGTACGTTTTTAACAAGCAAATAATATATCTGGCATCACTGTAAACTGTCTATATCGCTGAATTCAAGTAATGTGCAGGCCATAAAAAATAAGGATTATGTAATTTAATTACAACA